CTGAGCTGCTGAGATCCCACAATGTGCTTCACTTTCCCTACGCAGATGAGTGTGCAGTGTTTGCTGAGGGCTGCCAGCACCAATCCAAAACCAGACACAAGAGTTTAGCATTAGATTTTTATCTATTTTGATCTAATCCTTATTCCTGCCTGAGGGGTGTGTGCCTTGAATTGCAACTTGGGCACAGTTGTAGTGAGTTATTTTTGTCTTTTGCTTATCTGGAACTTCAGGAGTTTAAGTAAATTGCTTGTTTTGGTCATGATGTACAAAATTTTGACAAAGCAAACTTTGGGTTGGATGTGAGGTATCCCTACATCTCTGGAGTCTGTGATTCCAGCAGAGGGGTGGCAGCTCCCTTCCTTTGCCCAGCACCCCCAGGAATGGGTGAAGGCAGGAATTGGCTGCCAAGGCCAAAGCAGAGGCTTTGGGAGCTGGGAATGGGCAGGAAAGGGTTACTTGGGACAGCTTCAGGGAGCACAGAGCTGCAGGGTCCTTTCCTCAAGCTCTGCTTGTCTCAGGGGGAGAAGATCTGATGGAAGCCTTGGATTGTAATCCCTGAACATCCCAGGTCCTGCTGTCTTTCTGTCAAAAAGGCACAAACTGGGCCAAAACAACTCCACTTCTACCATGAAGGTTTTGTAGCAAACGACCTGGCTGTGTACAGTGAATATTGAAATGCTGCAGTTCCTATTCAATAGTATCAATGTGGCTTTGTAGCACCTCAAACCCTCCTTTTGCTCTGCTTGGATTGAAGTGCCAGGGGAACAATTGCTCTGCTTTTAAGGTGAGGCATTCCTGGTCCAGGAATGAGCAAAGCCTTGGGGTGCTCTGTGGTGCTCACAGGGCTCCCAGGATGAGGATCTGACTCCATGGTTCAGAAGGCTGATTTATTGTTTTATGATAGATATTATATTAAAATGATGTATTAAAACTATAGAAGAAAGGATTTCATCAGAAGGCTGGCTAAGAATAGAAAAAGAAGGAATGAATAACAAAGGTTTGTGTCTTGGACTCTCTGTCCGAGCCAGCTGGCTGTGATTGGCCATTAATCAGAAACAACCACATGACACCAATCCCAGATGCACCTGTTGCATTCCACAGCAGCAGATAACCATTGTTTGCATTTTGTTCCTGAGGCCTCTCAGCTTCTCAGGAGGAAAAATCCCAAGGAAAGGGTTTTCCATAAAAGATGTCTGCAATAGGGTGCCCTTGGAATGGCAGCACAGGAGGGGAATGTCCAGCTGGGAGTTTCTGTGTGCAGGATGAGGGCAGAGTGTGCTCATCCTGTGTCCTGCCTGTTGGGGTGTGTTAGCTGTTAGAATTTTTGTTCAGCTCTGGGAGATGCTGGCTCTTCCTCCCCCATCCTCCCATTGGCAAAGCAACCTTGCCCAGCAGATCTTTGTTCCCTCTGGCTGCCCCAAAAGGGATGTGGATGGGATTTTTTAATCTGCAAAAATGCCCCATCCAGTGCCAGCACTATGAACTGGGTTTGGTTTTCTTAACACACAGTTCTGCCACAGGAAAACCCTTTCACAGAACACTGAGCCAGCACATCAGCTTGGCTGGGAGGGAATAGTGTGTTGAAATGTTTGTGTGAAACTTCAATAATTCTTAAAATGTCTCTTTAACTCCAGCTTCGCTGGGAACTGGTTCTCTCTTTAATGATGCTGAGCTCAGTTTTCACTGAATTTAAAATTAAGGAGCATTAATGAAATAAAGCTGAGACCTGGGCCACAAGATAGCTTCACTTTGAAGCTTTCACCCCTGTACCCAGTGGGTTTGAATCACTGCCATTTCTTTTTTTGTTTCTTATGCAATTTTCTTATTTGGGTCAGTGCATGAGGAATGAAAACTTCCTGTGGTTTGTAGATTGTGAATTCCTGAAAAAACATCCAAATACTTCCAGGATTAACTGTTTCAGTCTCACCTGGACCATAATTTCATGATCAGATATCAATTTTTGAAGTGAACTATTTTCAGTGAAAATCCTCAGTGGTCATAGATAAATTTTCCCTTTTTCTAAATGCTGAGGAGTTCAGATGCAAAATTGCAGGTCATGCAAAGAAAGCATGGAGTGGTCTGGGTTGGAAGTAGAAAGGTTGGATAAAGGTTGGATTTGTGTTAATAGGTGTTAATGCAGAGAACAAATCTTGAGGAAAATATTATGGTATTATTATTATTTTGTATTCTAATTTTTTCAGGCAGCTGAAGAAAAGCTGACGTATATGAGTGAATAATCTCTGTACCATGACTCATCCCAAAGACATTCCTTAAGGATTTCAGTCTGCTGTGTATAAACCAGCCCTGAAGGTTCTTTAGTAAATCAGCATTAATTGGCAAATGAAACTGATTAAGAGCTGCTGTTGTGAGAGCTCGGAGGGCAGATTTGTGTATGGAATTCAATAAATGGATTCCATAAACCAACAAACAAAACAAAACAGAAGTGACTGTTCAGATTAAGCCTTGACCATTTTTTAGAGTCCCATTTAAAGGATTTTTGGTTTCCTAACCCTTTAATGCATAAAAATAGGGAGTCAGTAGGTGGTTTATAGACCCTGGCAATGAACCTGAAATCCCTGCATTTGCAGGAGTGTGACTGTGAGAGATCCCCAACCTCTGCCAGCTGTTGTCCCCTCACAGGGAGCTCTTTGGGGCCATCAGTTCTGATTCACAGAGTGGATTTTTACACCTGTTTGTTTTTTTTTTTTCATCCAGGAGCTGAGAGAAATCCATAACAAACAGCAGCTCCAGAAGCAGAAGAGCTTGGAAGCTGAGAAGTTGAAACAGAAGGAGCAGGAAAGGAAGATAGTGGAGCTGGAAAAGCAAAAAGAAGCTCAGAGGTAACAAAATCCCTAAATGTAAAACCTCCCCTGGCACTCCTGGAAAACATTCCTGATTCCTGTCTTCCCAAACCTTCCAGGGATGCAGATGAGGTTTGTGTCCTCCAGTGCCACCCTCTGATGTTGGGAAGGGGATTGGTTGGACAGCAGCAGCAATTTGCCCATGGAAAGGGAGCTCAGGCCTTGGCAGGGGCTGCCCAGGGAGCTTTGCAGTGCCCATCCCTGCAGGTGTGCCCTGGAGGTGGCACTGAGTGCTCTGGGCTGGGCACAAGGTGGGCACAGCTGGCACTGCATGGGCTGGCAGGGCTGTGCCAGCCCCAGGGATTTGGGGATTCTGTGTTTCATTTATTAAAATCAGAATTAAACATTTTGTAAGTGCCTATTTGAACATTTCCTCAGTTTTAGCCTTGTCTCCCTGCCCTCAGTTTTGGGTAATTCCCGGCCAGGCTCAATATGAATTGAGATTGAGATCAATTCTGAGTTGATCTGAATTCTCTGCCATCCATGGCTGGCAGAGGATGTCTGGGGTCTGTGGGGGTGTCACACAGACAGTGCTTGGGTAAAATCAGTAACCCACAGGAGGGACACCAGCAATGGCACATCACTCAGTGAGGGAACGAGCAGAAATGAGCATGGGAGGGGTGCTGGCTGCAGTTTCCCTCTCTCACCTTTGTTTGTGGTCCTGTTTTGTTTTCCCTGGCCCTGTGTGTGCTGCAGGAGTCCCAGCAGATGCTGGGCAGGCTGATTCCAGAGAAGCAGCTGCTCAATGACCAGCTCAAGCAGGTGCAGCAGAACAGTTTGCACAGTGAGTACATTTGGGGCGAGCCTGAGCCGGGCCAGGGCTCATTCCCTGCAATGGCTCTCTGGGTGTTGCAAGGTGCAGATGGGAAAATGTTGCTGGCTGTGACCTAAAGAGAAGAAAATACAAAATCCTGACTTGAGCTTGTGTTCCCAACCAGGGGATTCCCTGCTCACCATCAAAAGAGCCTTGGAGGCCAAGGAACTGGCGCGGCAGCAGCTCCGCGAGCAGCTGGATGAGGTGGAGAAGGAAACCAGATCCAAACTGCAGGAAATTGATATTTTCAACAATCAGCTGAAGGTAACCCAGGCCTCCTGAAGCCTTTCTGAATGTTCAGTTAATTCTTTTCTAACCTGACTGTGGGGAGAAAAAATGAACTGAAATGATAAAGAATGTCAGTTTGGGGAGTATTCTCAATCTGGCTGTTGAGGATTTGATTTCATTTTTATTTTATTTAAGAAAGTGCTGCTCAGCTTTCAAACTCAGGGTTTGACTCAATGTAATCTGCAGAGTCTCTTCAGGAGGAGATTTGAGCCCTGATTCCCAGTGTGTGATTGCCAAAATGAAATTACCAATTTCTGTGCTTTTCAGCCAGGAAGGGCAGGACACAGTCAGCATCTGCTGGAATCAGGAGTTCAAATTGAAATCTTGTTTATTAATTGTTTATCTAAAAGATTTTCT